CTGTCAGATTACAGAATGGCTCGCTTTCAAACTCTTCATTTTCCTTCCAATCTACCCTCTGTCACTTGAAGTCGCCTATTCAACAGCAAGGATCCCTGCTTTACTTTAGGGCTTTCCGAAACCATTTCCCCGATAATTCGGCCTAGTCCATGTCCCTCCTTCACAGCTACTGCAAGATATTATCACCTCAAATGTAGCGCTTTATCCTATCAGATCGTCTCATCTGCTGCGTCGCCGCTGCCTCCAACTCCGTTAATCGTGAGTCACTGTGACGAATAATAAAACTAGATGGTGTGTCCATCAAAATCATTGCCATGATCAAGGCCTACTGTCGCTCCACTACTACGCGAGTTCTCGTTCATAATAGTCTCTCGCAACCGTTCGATATCCGGTCTGGTGTTCAGCAAGGTTGCACCCCCCCCCGCCCATCCCGTCCCACTACATCATTGACTGGATTTTCGGAAGGGCCATACACGGCTTGGATGGTGTGGAGTTCGCACCCGGATACCTACTGACTGATCTAGACTGCGCTAACGATATCGCCTTGCCAGCCTCAAGTTTTGGTTATCTACAATCTGCGGTGTCAGAGGTGAATGAAGTCGCCACTTCGGTCGGTTTATCTGTTAACGCTGGGAGAACCAAAGGGTTTTCGAGCGTCACCTCTGACGGGAAGGCACCCCCCGCGATTAGTGGTTGTCAACCTGAAAAAGACAGTTTCGAAGACTTGGAGGCGAGGCTGCTGCTCAGTGGACAGAGTAAGGATAACATTGTCTCCAGAATCGATGCTGCTCGCAGAGTTTTGTCAATTCACAGAAAGTGACCATGGATCCGACGTGACACCAACTTCGCCACGAAGATTCACGTGTACCGTGCATCTGCCCGGTCTGTCCCTGTCTGCGGTTGTGAATGCTGGGCTTTGCGCGTGGAGTATGAGCGAAAACTGGAGGTATTTGGCCACCACTGCTTGAGGACCATCCTTTGAATGAAGTACACCGACTTCGTCTCAAATGAGACAGTCCGCACTTGCTGCGACAACATCGCAAGGATAACTTATGCCATCCAAGAAAGACGACTGAGGTGGTTCGGGCATGTTCTTTGTCTTCCGCCTCAGGAGCTCAGTGATACTGCCCTCGATCCGGCACCGCTGCCCCACTGGAGGCGTCGAAGAGGGGGTCAGTTCAAAACCTGGCTCGACACAGTTCGTCAAGACATGGAAGTGGTTCTTGAACCTTTGGTTTTCCGTCTCCGTCGTTGGCGAAGGGAATGGGTTGAGCTGTCCAGATCTGCTGCCGCTGGTCGTTACACGTGGAGAGGTACAGTTCGTGACATCATCGAGGCCGGCTAGATCAGGCATGATCGCAGCCGTATCAAGTACAAGTAAGTACTGTCCTCTCGTAAAACTGCACGAGCCGATGCACAAACTTGGCGGTCCAGTCAGTCCTCCTCAACGGTCGTGAATGCTGAACTTTGAGCGTGGAAGATGAGCGAAAATTGCAGGTATTTGGCCACAGCTGCCTAAGAACCACTCTTCTAGTGAAGTGCACCGACTCCGTCATAAATGAGAAGATCCACACTTTCTGCGACAATATCACGAGAATGTTCTGGGCCATCGAAGAAAGACGACCGAGGTGGTTTGGGCACATCCTTCGTCGTCCATCCCACGCACTCAGTTCCACTGTCCTCGGTCCGGCACCACCGCCCACCTGGAGTCGTCGAAGAGAAAGTTACCTCAAGACCCGTCCCGATACGATTTGTCAAGGCATGGAAGTGGTTCCCGGACCTTCGGTACTTGGTCTCCGTCGCTGAAGAAGAGAATGGGTCGAGCTGTCCAGCTTCGATGTCGCTTTGAGAGGTCCAATACATTGCATCAGATCAGGCATGTTCACAGCCGCACCTACAACAGCTCGCAGTCAGGTTGACGCCCACATTTTGCGAGTATGAAAGTCAAAATGCTAATGAAGGGTAGTTGTTGTTTTGTAGGAAATTAGCAAGTGAAGGCCTCCACTCAGTGCGGACGAGAGACATGCCCCTCGGCTCAGTTAATACATCTGGACGCCAGCAACTGAGCCCCTGGCTCAAGCTTAGTTGGATGCAGTGGAAGATACTTCAGGTTATTTGGCTGTGGCGCTCAGTGGTCTGGGATTATAAAGGACTGGAGTACGATGAGCTGGTCACGACTAGAATCTGGCAGTCGCCGGTCAGACATCTTAGGCCAATATTATAACCCAACATTAGTTACCCTTCCGAATTGAAAACGCAGCAGTCTTGGTAGTTGCAGCAGTAACAGTAGTAGTATACTGCAGTGTTATGCTTATCGGTCCACCGTCGTGCAATTTGCCGCCCGCAGGTCGCCTCCTTTTGGATCCGCCATTGTACGTCGTGGACTAACGCCACCCTACGAAGTTACAGAACCCCTGCCTTTTTTGAAAACCACACCGGCTCTATTCCCTAGCTTCTTTTTCCATGTTATTTCTACCCCCACCGCTGCTGCCTTGAAGGGGCCGATATTGTCCTCTGGTTGATATGCCACGCAGGAGCCGATGACATCAGCAGGGCCGTCCACCTCGGCAGCTACATCTCCGCCATGGGTTACCTCTTCAGCATCGACGACCACATGATGGTGGTGAAGAACGACAGTCACACCTACTACCGTTTTCAGACTCCCTGCCTGCGAGCACTCTGGACCGGGGCTCCAGTGCAAAGTGCGAAGATCCCGTTCCTCAGTATCGGTGGACACCTCTACCCTGAGAGAAAGCCCAGGGGTCCGCTGATAAGCCAAACCCGCTGCAGGGAAGGAAAATCGACGAAACAACCACCCGGTGTGGCGACTGGCCCACACACAAGGACTACGAAACGATTCCCGGGTTAAGAATCGTACTACTGACTGGCGCGTTGCACGGGATGGAACATTGGGCGGGTACCTTGTTTCAGTTGTAACATTTTAATCCGTATCAAACAGTTACAGACTGTCATAAGTACGAAATAAACAAAATCAGGCAAATTTCGCAGCTGACTTATGTGCGGACTTATACCCATCACCTGACATGTGTGGACATACTTCAAAGTCACCCTATGACTACTGCCACGCAAGCGAAGGAGCCGGATGGCCAAAGGTCCCCAACCCACTGCTCCTTTTTGTGTCCTTTCGGTCACACGACAGCTCGACAATGTGAGCCCCACAACAGAGCGGACGCAGGGGCGGTGACTAGTGCGCTAGTTTACAGTTGCCGTTGTACCTACCATCTTCCTCCCTCAGGCCGGTGTCAAGAAGACAAGAACAGGTGGCTGGCGCATCATGAACCCATGCCGACCAAATCTTACACAAGAGGGAAGACGGCCCGGATCCACGGCGTGCAAGTCAACAGCATACTATTTTTGTGCACAACTTGCTAAATCTGACTCGGATCACCCTTCCGATGAGCGATTATACGCGGTTGTAGTCGAGTCGCCTGCTGTCCCAACCGGAGGTCGACGTTTTAAAGAAAACTCCCGAGAACCGAGAAGATGGCCTAGGAGGATGACGCCTACCGAAGACAACGTGGAAAAATTACATCACGGAACCAACTTGATCCCAACACGATAAAAATTGAAACAAATATAGCCGTTGCGCCGAAAACACCACCGTTCCCGCTTCAACGCGGAAAAAATGAAGAACAACGGGAACGCCACTAAGGACCTCAGTCTTCAGCCTAGGATACAGTGATACAGAAATTCACCAGAAGGTGTGAGGCATGTAATACGTGACACGAAAGGGAGCAATCGAGCCAGCAAAGAGAGCGTCACATGTACAAATATGTGTAAACTTATTCAATAAACAAAATTAGTACAACCATAAGAAGGATAAAAAGCCGGAACGACTAAAATATCACACTGGGCGCCAGGAGGCTGTTCGGTGTACTGCACAAAGCCCGGGAAGTCTCGTCTACTCGGATTTTGGATGCGGCTTGGGACCCTTGCGGGAGCTAATAAGGGCGAGGATACGGCGTCTGACGGAAGCAAGGAGGCGGAAGAGGGGTGGACGATCCACGTCCTCTCCGTCCACACTGACCACAGGCATCATGGCGTTAGTGGCCGCCTTGTGCCCACTACCGAAGGCGACAGCCACGATGGAGCAGACCAGACAGAGGGCGTTGAAAGGCATGCTGAAGTCAGGCACAGGTAGGCGTACCAGCACGGGCTCCGAGTAGAGACGCACAAGGCCGTCGCCCACTCGTTGCTTTCGACCGTCGGCGGTGCTCAGAACACTGGAATTGCTGGGCGAGCTGGGACATAAAAAGAGGGTGGCAGAATAAACAAGTGAAGTCGGAGAAGTAGAAATACTGATACGAGCTACCAGAGAAGAGGGTAACAAATGGCTCAATCTAAATCCGCGAAGTAGCCGCAGCACTGACGGACGTCCGGGCGACCAAAAAACGCCCTTACGCTCAACAGTAGAAAATCACAGATCACAAAGACAACAATAGCAATCGTAATCCCCCAACCACCTATCCTTGTCAAGATATTAGCAGATGGCTGACTTTGTTCGTGGCAGCGTTTCTAACCCGGACATCCGGGTGTCGGCGGAGGGTGTACATACAAATGAAGGCAGCAGATATGTAACTTTTATATAATTGCAAGACCAGACCGCTCCGTATATGGCCAGTCAATGAAGGTAATGAGCAAGAAACTTGCATTAGGACCGGCCAACTCTGTCTAAGTTGTGGGACCGTCAGTGCTTACATACATTTTTTTCTAATGCGAAGAAGATTAATTGGAGAAAAATTGTGGACTTACAAGAAGTCTGTATATGTACCGGCCCACATGGGGAGGACAGTCTCCCAATACATCGGTTCCTGCCGTTGGTGCAACCGCTTCAACCTCTCCGCTGAGAGTTGGAAGACAACGCTGGCTGCGGGAAGGTAGACACCGTGATTGGCATCAGGCGGATACTCGTTCCAGCGCATCAATATCTTCTTGAAGTTATAGGAGACTGTGAGAAGGGAATTGGCTGGCAAAGTCAGCAGCATCTCCAGAACAGCCATACGCTCACGCACCACGCTAGGTCGAAAGGCGACACGGTCTAAAACGAAAGCAGTCGCGAGGTGTGACAAGTGAAACATGTGACTGGCGGTTGATAACATCAAAGAATACACCAATGTCGACTTACCGTGGTTAGCCCCCTTAGGCCGTGATGGTGAGGTGCTCACCCATCGTGCTACGGAACTCACTCGTTCCGCAGAGCCTTGCGACTTTGTATCGAGTCCCACCAGCGGCCGCACGGCGGTGCGTAATAGAGGCAGAATAGCATTACAGACAAAGACAAGGGACATCGGATGGGAACAGGACGATGAGTTTGTGGTTCAGTCGTTAGAGCGTTGGACTTCTAACCAACAGGTCGCAGGACCGAGTCCCAAGGGTTGAACACCTCGGCACTGGGTGTGGCTGGCTGACGACGGCTAATGGGCCGGAAAAGGTCATTTCAGTCTCTCTTGTATTTGTCGGTAATGCTATTCTGCGCAAGGTCATCTTGTGGAACTAGGTTTAAGAGGCCCAATACGACGTTCAAAGTAGGAGGGCGGCCTTATCATGAGGAGAAACAATCCATTAAAAGCAGGGGCCGACCTACAAGGTCGCGGTAGGGGTAAAAAATGGCTTGTGCAGATCTCACTAGGCCCACTACATCAGGTGCCGACGAAGTGGGCAACCGAGTTTACAACTTAAACGCCCAGTGATTCTACATGTAAAGATAGGTGAGCTAACTTCTCAAAACTAATGACATACAGGACTCTGCGGCACCCGATCGTAAATATCAAAGGAATATTCTAAGGGCAAGTTGATGCAGGCAGAAACATTGCGACAGGGTTGCACAAACTGACGTGTTTAAATTTAACAGGGTAGGAATGAAAACATGAACATTTGGGCGATGTCGTGGGTCAGAAAAAAATGAGCTCGATCCCGCCCTTAGACCGGGAAGTCTTCCCTCTCCCTCTGAGGTAAAGACGGCGTAGCATGCCTTCTACTTTCTTATGCGACAAGAAACAGATTGACGCCTCGAGCGGCAAAACGCATACATAGTCTGCGCCAGTGAGCCAAATCCGTAGTCGAGTTAGTGTATTCTGAAAAGCAAGCACTGCAGCATAAACCTCGCAAGTAAAACAGATCAAGCTCAATAGCATCCCGTAGTCGGTAAAATGATAAGGCGTATTTAATGAATATCTATCATGTTAAAGGCTGTTTCGGAAAGGTGTGGAATCTTGAATGGTCGCTGGTGACACAACCGCCGGGGCCAACGGCGAATGCGAGTCATCTGGTTGAGAAAACATGCAATCAACTACCTCAGGAGTTAATCAAATACTTAAAAAGTATAGGCTTCTCTACACGAAAACGGTTTCGGACAATCACGGCGGACTGCGTGCTACTGAGCAGAAAGAATTATCTTAGTAAGCATACCGGCAGCGCAGGGTTCAATCGGCCTCCCAGCCGCATCCTGACAGGCCGTATTCAGGCTGCTGTAGTAAACCTCCGTGTACCAGGGTGCGCTATCAAAGAGGGCCGCCTTCACAGGGATATCCAGGTTATTGCGTAGGACAATACGCACGCCACCGCTGATGTCACCCTTGCCGGTGGCGTACTTCATCAGCGAGACCGGTGTGACCAGTTCTCTGGCATGTTGGCCGGGACCTTCCACAGATGTTACGATGAGAGAGTTAGCCACCTTGTGACTGTCGTAGACAGCAAACACCCTGCGCGGATCCCACGCGGAAGAGTCAAGCGGGAGGGCAGGCGGTGACAGAGTGAGTCTTGGCCGTGACCGCAACACAATGATTTGGCTGCGTGAGGCGACCGGACAGGCTTCCTTCAGTCTCCCACCAAGCAGCACTGCCAGAGACCAGGGGGCTAGTAGGGTTTAGACAGAAAAACGAGCTCAGCAAATAAGAAACACACTGGTTAGCAAGCTGGCCTGGGAAAAAAGTCCGTCTGGGAAGCATCTTGGTCCGGGCATGTGCAGTCTGCGCACAGGTCTCGGCACAACATTTGATGATGTGACGCGCAAAGGCGGTCTAGAGGAGGAAATTAAGGATGAAGCAGACGGTCCTGCCTTCGAAATGGACGAGATCCACAACTGTCACACCAAATACGCCCAGCTGCGACTTGCACGTGATCTTGTTCACAGTGGAATAGCCTTGCGAAGGATCTACCTTTACCCCCACCCGCCGAGTCCCGACAGCAAGGCTAAGTCAAGACGACCAGAAGTGGGCGTGGGCGCATTGGATGACAGAGCATTACAACGCGTATACGCGTGCCAAACATTACCTGAGCCCTAGGTCCCAGCACACCAAGGGTGAGTTAAATGGTTGTCTCGGATATTACACAAATGGAAAGGCCATAAGGGCCATATTAAAAAGTCCCCTATGGGGCCCAGTCACTACGTCAATTGACTATCTTCAGACCCCGACGGATAATGCGTGCTGACAGGTTTACGTTCAGCAGATTTGCTATGAAGAGTATGCTGACTTGTCATAAGGATGGATTGCTCCCAAGTTTCGGTATCATTCTCCTCTCATGCCAGTTGAGCGTTCGAATCTGCCAACCAGCTGGTGAGATTTGGTGCGGTGATTGGCGTGATGCGAAATTTTCTATCCGCAAGACCAGATTTCGTCAGGAAGCATAAGTGTCACATAAATACGATGTGCACATTCTCAAAAACGCTCTTCCGCACGTCATGGCGCGCTGAAAAGCGGCATCTCATGTTTGTCACGGGAGCGATCAGTGGTGCTCTGCTAACGGTTGCCCTGCATATATGTGTTATCAAAAATGCTAGTTAATAGCCTAACCGTGTCCGTGCGCACATGTAAGCAAAGGTGTACGGGAAGCCAGGAAGCTTTAAGCGGCGTCTTCACGTATGGAATAGGCCCATGCGATGACTGAGTGTTCTGACGGTTTTGACCGTGGCCGACGGTGTCGGGCGCGACTAGAGTACACCGTAGGACAGGATGCCTGCGAAAGTTAAATACGGCGCCCCATTGCTTCCGTGAACTTCACTATTCGTTTGGTCAATGGACGGCCTAGTTGTCCAGTGCAAGTATCTAAACAATCCCCACATCCAACGTGGCACGCGACGGCTGACCGTCCGCCCCAGGTCCAGCTGTCTTCAATCGGAATTACTCGGCAGGAGAGTGCAACGTCGGGTTAATGGCAACACCGACGAACAGGCTGAGCACAATACTGTCAACCGACTTGGAAAAGTCGCCGGTGCATGGCTAGGTGCGCGCGAGCTTCGGTAGCGGCGTCGAGTTCAGGATTCTCGGATTGGTCCGCCGACATCATGTAACAAAACTTTGGTAATGGCTGATCATCAGTAAATAAACACTGCAATGGCGAGTCACCGTGGGTTTGGTTATCCTACGTACCGACATATGAATAGACCCTCCTATCCATGAGAAAATAGTGGAAATGATTGGTCATAGCAGTAGAACCCGTACACACGGAGTCCAAGCTATGCCTGATGTTCTAAGGTAATTGTGTCAGTCACTTGAGTGCTATTAACTCGGCATAAAACTGCATAAGACAAATTATATGGAAACAAGAGCATCCATAAAGCGCACAAATGAAAAATCTGCCCTGGAAACCACATAATTACAACGACAATGTTCCGGTGACAACACGGTAACCAGGGAAAATTCGTTAGGAGCATCAGGTACGAACTTCGTCTGGTAGCAAATGCATGTCTCAGCTCCGATATCATCATGATCCTTATTGTCAGTTGGAAGGTGTACGCCTCGTAAAGTTGTCACAGAGACAAGATATAATGTCTTATTTTTTAAAAATGACAAACGGGAGAGACAGTAAGAATATTCAGTTGCAACAGTGATTCTATGACAATCGCTGGCAGAAGTGGTTTAAAAGAGCAAAAGTCAAACGGCCTGGGAGAAGATAGTGCAGGCCAGTCTGTAAATACAATCTAATTTACTTATGACAGGTAGTCGACTAAAAATAGCAAACTTTGAAAGAAAGGAATACGTGCCTGCTATGTCGGCATATAGGTATCTCCTGTCGAAAACGATCGACAACGATTGGCGCAATTCTACAGAGAGACGTTGACAGTCCGGAGCCTACCGGGTAAATAAAATACATTGCAAGTTACCGAGCAAACACGGCGAACTTCAATGTTTAGGGAGTTATATCGAGCTCTAAATATTGATCTTGGTTTGAGAAGACTGGCAAGTCCCATCAGCTTTTTACACGGCAAGAGCTTGGCCCACGGAGTAAAGTTCTCAGTACAAAGCTCCTCGTGCGGCAGCTGTCCGTATCGAAAGTACTTTGCGAAATTATCTGAGGTAAAGTTTTCTGACAGCCCGGACGGTCGGTGTGACCACTGAAGAGAAAAAGAGTTCTTATGCAAACCTAAGAGGCTCAAGGAAGCACAAAATTGGCCTGAGAGAGCCTCCAAGAAGAATGACCATGATTTTGCAATGCTAAAGACTTCAATGACAAGAAAAGGAGGTAATACTCGGTAGCCTTCGGTGAAAAAAGTGCCCAAACTTCTGCACCACCATTGACTGCTTGAACAAAGGGCGGGCCCCAGGCGTCCCTGTCCCAAAACCCTTGCACAATAGACAGCTTAAATTCATCCACAAAATATTTGGATATAATCTGATGCAGTGATTTGGGAAAAAGGTGGAAGTTATTGCCTGAAGTAGACAAAGAAATAGACGCCTTACTTCCACTTTCATAGTGTGGTTGACGAGTTACAAAATTGAAGTGAAATGCACTCAAACCATTTCCAAGATCTTTGACTAGAAGCTCTTCTTGGAAATCATCGCATAAAATGGCTGGTATCACCAGAAGACACAAACACGCTAGGTACCGCATCTTTACGGACCAACGGGCGATTAACTGCGTATGTTTTTCCCGCCTCAATTTTGCTCTAGTAAAATTCAACGGGCACTAGAAGGTTGAGATCGAACAACTCCTACCGACGCGAAGGTACGTACACGGGGTCAGCACGCAATGCAGCATGTCGAATACCTCAAAATGAAATAAGGCAGAGCCATTATAATCATGAACTTCATCATTACGGAAGCCAGATTTGTTCGATTCGGCACCAAAAATTGTTGTTTTTTCTAAATCCAAGAAACGAACGTTAGTTCTCTTAAGCATAGAATACCGTGAAGAACATAAACATCCTGGTATAATTTTACGATACTGAAATTGTGTTCACGATGTTAAACGGTGCGTTTCGGGGGAAGAAATAAGATGATATCGTTATGACCGTTGCGTCGAGAAGGGGGAGAAGGAGTTCAAAAGTAGTACGCAGATCAAAGTGCGGCTGTTTGAAAAGCTAAGCAGAACGAGTAGTCCTTTTTGTAATCGGCGAAACAAAAAGAGATAAAGGCTTTCAGACCGCTAAAGTTCTTGATGCGTTATATTTTAGCGTTCGGAAGTTAAAACTCTTGCGGCAAATGGTGCTGAATTAGAAATATTTCCTTACTGTCCACAGCTCGCAGGACGCTAAATGCGGTCTAATATCCTTAGTTGTGTAATGCCTGTGGATAAATCCCATCATTCTGCGTGCTTTGGGACAATCGTGACGAAGTGTTCAGAATGATTGAAACTCTTGGAGGTTGATATACCCAGGTCCCCAATAGTCCCAGGCAATATTTTGTAATGACCGTCAATATATATCTCAGGCTGAGGACCATCTCCAACCACTATAACTGAGCATTGGTGCCAGAACATAGAAAGTTGCCATGCACAGCTCCACTGAAAAAGGCCAGAAAATCGCTCTTTTGGAGTTCAGGCAAGATGTCCCAATCTGCCAACTTACATTGATATGCAACTCTCAAATCACCAGCTTATGCAAGAGGTCCGCCAACTTGAAATAAGTCTGGCAAGTCATGGACACAAGGACAAGATGGGAGGCGGCCAAATACACTGTCGTGAATGACTGCGACCTTTACATTCGTAGGGATGGGGAGAATGTCAGAAATCTCAAGGTAATGTATGTGAGAGCCAAAACAAGAGGATATAAGATTGCAAAACGTGTTATTTCTTACGAAAAATGAAAGCATTAAGAGAAGATAATGTTCAACATAAGCAAATGCCTTCGAAAAATCAAACTAGTTTGCGTAAAGGAAGAGGCCTTTTTTCCTAGATTGTTAAAAGTCGTCGTCATCTTATGTTCGATGAATGTCTCTGATGTTTTAAGGAATTGTTGAGGGGAGTTTTTGACCAAAAGATGTCTGGTTACGTAGACTGACTGGGCTTGCGGATAAGCAAACTGTGTGATTCCCTCCATAAAATTTCATGGGTTTCACTTTCGAGAGCAAGATTAAATATGTTACACTGAAGGGGCGGAAATATCACATTTGCGTTCGCTCTTAAAGTTCTGATCGGAACGGCAAAAGGCCCAGGGTAATGAGATTAACGAAAACGTCGAACGAATACGATCCCGTCCTAGAATGAACGTTGCAGTCTTGAAGACCGACACCGGTCTAAACCTGGAGGTCCAAAAGCGGGGGGGTTGAATTTTTAATAAACTCTGTCGACAAGGAAGCATGACAACTATCAGCGGTCAAATTGGCGTCTGTTATGGCATTCTTGAAGGAGGTTCAGTGCGTGAGATGTTGCGTTCTACTGCGAGCTCTTTCTATTCGAGAGAAAGTTCCTCTGCATTTAGCGAGCGGTTTCCGCAGACTTGACCTCCTCGACCGGCCGTTTTTTCACTGAGAGCCAAGGGTGGCATTGGAACTCCTTTTTTGCCGATGGAGGCAACGGTAAGCCTTCGCAGCCTATGACAGAAAAACAATGGAAGAAGAACCTCATTCTTTACGCGGATTTTTTTTATTACGGTGAGCGAAACGAGAAAAAGTCTAGCAGGATAAACATCCGCATCCAAAATTTGAGAAAAACAGACGAATCAGGAGAATTATGATATGCCAGTGATTTTTCCGAACGGACTGGTCGGAAATCAAGGAGGAAACTGTATTTGTTGGGCTAAATATCATAAACTGCGAGTCCTAGATTAGATACACTTGTGTCGTGGTCTGATCACTTGAGCGGACCGAAAGATGACACTGATAAAAACAGGCAATTTCTGCAGAAAATTTGCTTAATGAGGCATGATTCTCGGGTAAGAAACATCCGGCAAACCGATTCCACCTGCAGACATCGACGGCCTTGAGTAGAGTCTTGAACAATAAGGCAGAAACCAATACACTTCGGAAAGACTGGAATAAAAAGCAATCAAATGATACGTAAAAATTAGATCTACCGCGGCATGAACTGCCTGCAAAGGACACATATCGAAATTCTCATTGGCTTCAGATGGGTGATCGACAAAACCAACGAGTAAAGCGTACTTATTTTTTGAGGAAACTAAAGCTACCTTTTACCACGGCAAAGTGTGGAAGGTCCAGCGGCAGAAGTACAAATGTTTGCTTAATAGGGAAGCAGTCCTCCCACCACAGCTGTCTTAAAGACAATTTAAAATGCAACTACAGCCTAGGAGAGAGTACGGGTTCGGGGCCAGCTACGGAAGTGGTTGCCCGTGCCTCTCTTACAAGAACAGTATCCAGACGAGGGCCGGAATAAAGGGCATGCTATTCATTAAAGACCTGACACTTAGAGCGAACAGTTATAGAGGGTTAACTGTGGGTTTGTGAGGGGAGGCGGTTAAGCCATCCAGTGCTTGACTGTCCACGAAACAAAGGGATTGGATGGTCCTATCCGGTTCTGAAAAATATTTTATGGCATTGGAAACGCCCGATATCGGTATGGAAGGGTAGGACTTCGTGCAGAAAATTATGGATAGGACGAAGGGGCATTGCCGCTAGCTGGCTAAATCTTCCTTGTGTACGCACCTCCTCAGCAGTGAAAGTTGTCCAACCTAATCCGTTTTCTCTGACTTCTGGTTTGGGAACCTCTGTCCTATCACACCAAATCGACACACCCATAAGTTGGATACGGCATCGTATTCCAATCAGTATAACATTGAAGGCTAAGCGAATTGGCAGGCGCATTCAACTGGGTTCGCGACTGTGATTAAACTATGCTGGAGGGCGATGGGCTCACTGTTTTAATTGAAGCGGTAACGTCATTCCTAGTCAGGAATATTGGCCTAACACGCTTAACAGCCTCGCGAAAAATTTGGGGACAGCTTACGATGTATTTTTGGGAAGCTGTTTGTTAGAGTAGCGAGAGTCAATGAATGGAAAGTTTTCTTTCAGAAAGTAGACTTCTTCAATGCCCATGGCAGAAACTACACTCCAAGCTTACCCTGGAATTAAGCCTCTTTTTTGGTTTATATGTAGTTACTGGTGGGCTGCGTAAGGTTTTGAGTGCACAAATTCCTCGTTAGGTTGGAGTTCCCTTAGATCGTTTATAGGCAATTTCCCTGTAGAGCGTTCCAATTTATGAGATAGTGAGGCCACAGAGGACGATAAAAGCGAATCATTCAACAGTACAGTAGAGGTTGACATGAATTGCTGTCGAATTCAAACTTTTCAACTTTCTCTGCATCGGCTTGATGTCGGGCAAAATTTAACAAAGTCATCAATGGCAGAATTCTCTTGTCACATCTTCCTAGGCAAAAGGATATCAACTTTGACCAAAAGGAAGAGAATGACTGATGCTAGGGCGTTGCAGATGGGAGGACGTCGTCGTTTGACATGGGCGACCATAAATCCTAAATTTTAACATTCCAGGAAAAAGTACACACCCTCAACAGAAGAGAGGTGATTAGGAGTATTCTGCGGTATCTAATTACGCTTAAGCCTTATTCGATAATCAGCTTCGGAGTTAACTGGTCAATGGGTATTTAAGTTCACTGGGTAGAGTTTCCGACGTAACAGTCATTTAATCGTATAGCAATTGCTCTAATCTTCCGACTGACGGTGTTCTATTGCCGCTGGCTGCGTCGTATTCTTGAACAGACAAAGGATCCAGGCATTTGGTGTGGATCAAAGGGATTTTGCAATTTACCAGGCCTCGAGAAGAGCGTGAAGCCACATAGGTAGCCGCTTTATCTCTAGCAACGATTCAAGCACCCAAAGAAGGTGGGGACGTCGCAAGTCTTTATTATTTATCTGGTCTACTGCGAGCGATCTGAAACTACCAGACAAAAAATCTTTTGACTTAAACAAATCGAAATGTTAGCAAAATATAAAAGTATCTTGTGACCTTGCCTTCTTGAACCGCACATGAAAACATTTGCAAGCAACAGACCAAACGGTGAGCCCATTGCCACGCCGCCTATTTGTCTATAAAGTTGACCACAGCAGAGAAATTGGGCATTTTGGGTACAGTATGTCCTTAGTTCTTTTAGCATTTTCACTGGCATGCCCGTAGGGTAGTTCGTATCAACGCCTGATCCATTCCTCGCAAGTATTTTTATGGGGAAAGTCAATAAGTCAAGGTTACAGGATACCATTCATGACCTCGACTTCTACGGTCGGTTCTTGGGTGATATAAGTGTATGTTTACTATGGTAAATATTGCAGTAAAACAGAAAATAGGTACAAACAATAGTATGACACGAGTGTTGCCAAATGCAGGTAAAATTATCGGACACTTTGTAAAGACTTATTAGACGGAAACTAATTGTACGTACCAGTTATCAAGCATGGCCATTTGTTTAAAAGAATGAGCCGAAAATATATACTTATTGTCAAGGAATTCCGAAGTAAAAGCAAGCCCATGTTGCCTTAGAAAATCAAGCAGTGCTTGTAGAGCTTGTCGGCAGTAATGATCATCATTCGTTGGTTGTTATCTACTTCTATCTTAGCAAAGTCTTCGAAAAGGTGCCGCATAAATGTCTTTTAGTAAAACTGGAAGCTCGCGACATCCGACCTCCTCTGCTAGACTTTATCGGGTCCTACTCATCCAACCATTACGAGGTCATAGATGTCAATTAATACTCGATGCCACATGCGATCGCGAGTGGCATATTTTTCGGCACAGTTCTGGGTACGCCACTCTCCCTTGTTTGCCTTGCAGTGCTTCCGTTGAGATGTTAACATGAACGACCAGGCACATCGTTATGGTTGGCCTTGAAGATTTGCCGATATTTTTGTGACCCAGTTATCGCAAATATTCAGCTCATTCGGAGGCTCGTCGGCGTTATCATCAGACGACTTCATCGAATAACACGAACATACTAATTAAGAAATCAGCTACTTTGTGCGTAAGGGGGAAAAATCGCCAAATATTTTTCAGAAGGTAGAAGATAAAATATGTTCTCATGAGTATGAAACACGAGTTCCTTAATAGCTTTGAGCGTTAGTAGCAAAGAATTTATCGCATAACCTATTTAGGGTGTTTACGACACCCCAGGGTGGAAAAAGTTTAATTACGCAGGGTGAGGATATCAATTATTTTGCAAAAGAATATCAAGATATTTCAATCAAGACTGAACGCTGGCATTCGAACGAGTTTCTTATGATCGACTGCAAAAACGAAACTCTACAAAAATGGCTGCCTATGTGATATGAAATTTTCATATTAGTTTTCGATGCTCTTGTAAATTTAATCATATTTTATGGAAAACGTGCATAGAAACACGGTTTTTTATATACACCGTTTATGTGCTCACTCGTTAAATGCTAGCCGAAATTCTGAAACACGTTTTTGACTCGAAAAGATTTCTTTAGTAAGGTTGTAATATTAATCACTGTGCAGCATACTTCTATGATAATTCAGTTACTCCAGGGTGCCAAATTTTGACAACTATCTCTCCGGTCGCGTGCGAAAACTACGCTCAGCAATAACGACTACTAAAGTAGCATGAGTTTTTCTCTTTGATTGCCAATGTCCATGCAAATCCAAACATATTTTTAAAGGAAACATGCAAAAAATATTAATTTCTCAGCTCAATCAGTAGAAAGTTGCGGCTTCTCCAAATTTTGTGCTTGAAGGAAGGGTATGATTCCGTTCTGAAACACCTTTCCCATTCCCGAATAATTTTCAGGTCGACCTGCCGTTACACTTGCATTCAGGTTTCCCACACTGCAAGCAGAAAATTTTCCGTGTACGGAAAATCATAAATTTCTATACGCTATTAAGAGGAGACCACAGTTAGGAATCGATTTCAGCCATATTGTAAACTTAACAAGCAACGTTGGTAAATGCAGAGCCATGATGTTTTATGAACGGGCATTTCACGGTCAAAAAATACAACAATTAGAAATTATTTTGAAACCTAATTATACCCTTACTTCACGAATAACATTTGAGGTGACTTAATTTGCTACCGAATAAGCAAAAGAATGAACAATTTTGTGAGATGGTATTGACAAAGACAAAGGAGACCGGAATGGCCATTTCCGGCTTGTTAGCCGTCATCAGTCACACATACAAAACCACAAGCTTGGACCAATTGACATTTGAACCCGGACTGTTGGACATGGAGTTTAGCATTCCATCACTGAGCCAGTGACCCGTTGCCGGAATGAGCAAGTTTCGCAGCCTGATCGGTGAGCGCTCATCTGTCAAATTGATATTCCCGATCAAAAACGAAAAGAAAGCGGACACGCAGCTCAATGGTAGAGTGAAAAACTACATGACAGAACATACCAGGTTCAAATCTCAGGTGACCCACAATTGGGGAAGAGTGGGACCACCTGACGACGGATAATAAACAATAAGTGGCCGTTCCGGTCTCAGTTGTCTCTGACAGAACCAGCTCAATTACTACCAAAAATAGTTGCTGAGCGACTGACTGCGACGGCACTAGTATGAGTCCCAAAGAAAAACGGAAATAGCACCTTCAGCAACTTCATCGACGAGCTTGCGTCTGAAAGCAATTAATATTATCAGGAATATACTATATGAAATATAATTGAATTGAGAAGGGCATCGAAAGACAATGAGAAAAAGTCATAAAATATAAGTACTTATCTAATAGAAAGCGTTTGATTCGCAGGCGGCTGGAAAGAAATAAGTTCGAAAGACGGCATCATGAAGTAAGTGAATTATCATAAGATTTTGCTGGATGGTGATTAATGGTAAAATTAAGCTCAAGTAATCTTTTCGAGCACAAAAGGCATTTGATAACTTCAGTTAACACATCAAGAAGTAGCACATCTACTATATTACATTGGAAATTATGTCATTTTCAATTGCTATGCTAAAAGAAATTGTATCTTCGGGTTTTGAAAAAGATTCAAATTAGGACGTTTTTCAAGACTCTGAAACTTGCGTTCACACAGACTAATCAATGTAGCCTGTGAAGTATACAACCTGGTCCAAACGCATTGGACGATTTTCTGAAGGCTATAAGATATCTACATAAAAGAGGAGGGATAATAGTGATAATCTATTTACCGGAAGTATAGAACTTGTAGGGTGGAAACACTGAAAAGAGTTGTACCGGTAGACTGGGCAAAAAATTATTAGGGAACTGAGAGAGTTTTTTCTTAAACCAGAACATACTCTCCACATGTCAAGTAAAAAAAATTAAGAGGCCGAAGCAGTTTGTTAGTAAAAGCCTACAAGTGGGATTAATTTCGCGTGCGCACATTTAAAAGACATAACTGATTGTAGTACTACAACAAAATTCAGAAAGGACATTAACGCAAAACAGGCAGTTATTTAATATATTCTCATAGAATCAAGCCGACTTTAAACAGATTCTTCGATATCCGGCATCCTGAATAAATGAATTATCATGGGATTACGCTACATGGTAAACAATTTTACCAATAAACTTAAGTAACGATTTTGAGCGGAAAAAGCATATCACAATAACAGTCAGCACTTCATGAAGTAGCAAAACTACTACATTTCATAGCAAAGAAAATTCCCTTTCATTGTTATGCTAAAATAAATCTTGTCTACGGGTTCTGAAAAACTTTCAAATGCCGACTATTTTCAAGACTCGAAAAAGTGCGTTCACACAGCGTCATCAATTTTGCCTGTGAGGAATACAACCTGGTGCAAATGCATTGCACTATTTTCTGAGAGATTTATGACCTCTACCTAAGAGATGAGTGATGGATATAGGTGACAATCTATTGACGGTATGTATAGAAAGTGGAGGTTGGAAACCCTGAACACAGGTGTACCGGTAGATTGGGCAAAAAATTAGTCGGGTACTGAGAAAGTTTTTAAAACCATTATATACTCTCCACACAAGTAAAAAATGAAAGAAGAAGCAGTTTGTTCTTAAAAACTACAAGAAGGAGTATTTTTGCGCGCACTTTCTATACGACATGATTGAATTTATTACGGCACAGAAAATAAACGAGGAAATTTTATACTACACAAGTAGTTATTTTTATAGTGTCATTTGTATTTTCAAACGGTCGAAAAGAGGTTCGGTCGAAAGCCGGCATCCTGAAGTAAGCCAATTATCATGGGATTATGCTGCATGGTGACTACTGTTACAACGAAACTTAAGTAATCTTTTCGAGTCGAAATCGCATGTCATCATTTCGGTCAACATATCATGAGGTAGCACATCTACTATAGTTCATAGCAAATTATGTCCTCTTCAATTGCTGTGCTAAAAGAAATTGTAGCTTCGGGTTTTGCAAAAGTTTCAAATTAGGACTTCATTCAAGACTCTGTGACGGGCGTTGAAAGAGCTTCACCAATGTTGCCTGTGAAGTATACAATCTGGTGCAAATGCATTGCACGATTTTCTGAGTGCTATATGACCTCTACGTAACAGGGGATGGATATAGGTGATAATCTATTGACGGAAAGTATAGAAAGTGTAGGTTTGAAACCCTGAACTCAGGTGTACCTGTAGATTGGGCAAAAAGTTATTGGGGAACTGAGGAAGTTTTTTAACACCAGAGTATACTCTCCCCTAAAGAAAAAAATTAAAGAAGAATCACCTTCTTATGAAACGTCTAAAATAAGGAGTACTTTCGCGCGCGCACTTTCTATACGACCGAATTTAATCTGTTAGGGCACCGAAAATCAAAAAGGAATATTTCTTCTAAACATGTAGTCATTTTTTGTGTCATTTGTATTTTCATATGGCCGAAAGTAATATCGTTTGAAATCTGGCATCCTGAAGTAAGTGAATAATAATGGGACTATGCTGCGTGCTGATTAATTTAACAAGTAAACTTAAGTTATCTTCTCGAGTCGAAAACGCATTTCATATTTTCAGTCAACATATCACGAGTTAGCACATCTACTATATTTCATAGCAAATTATGTCCTCCCGAATTTTTTGTGCTAAATGAAATTGTATCTTCGGGTTTTGAAAAAGATTCATATTAGGACGTTTTTCAAGACTCTGAAACGTGCGTTCACACAGACTAATCAATGTAGCCTGTGAAGTATACAACCTGGTGCATATGCAGTGCACTATTTTCTGAGAGTTACATGACATCTACCAAGGCGAGGAGCGATGTGCATGACAATCTATTGACGGGATGTAGAGAACGTGTAGGTTGGAAACCCTGAAAAAAGTTGTAGCCGTAGATGGGGCAATTATTATTTGGGAGCTGAGAAATTTTATTAAAAACAGAGTATGCTCAAGTAAAAAAATTGAAGAAGAATCATTTTGTTATTATAAGCCTACAAGAAGGAGCATTAACGCCCGGACAGTTTCTATAAGACAAAATTGAAATTGTGATGGCAGCGAAAATCAACGAGAAAATTTTATACTACACATATAGTTTTTTATAAGTCATTTGATTTTTCAAACGGCCAGAAAGAATTTTCATCGAAAGCCCGCCTCCTGAAGTATCTGAATTATCATGTCATTATGCTGCGTGCTGCTTAATGATACAACTAAATTCATCTTCTCGATTCGATAAAGCATTCCATATTTTCTGTCAACATTTCATTAGGTAGCACATCTACTATATTTCATAGAAAATTATGTCCTCATCTATTTGTAAGCTAAAAATAATTGTAATTACGGGTTTTGAAAAAGTTTCAAATGCCGACTGTTTTCAAGACTCGAAAAAGTGCGTTCACACAGCGTCATCAATTTTGCCTGTGAGGAATACAACCTGGTGCAAATGCATTGCACTATTTTCTGAGAGATTTATGACCTCTACCTAAGAGATGAGTGATGGATATAGGTGACAATCTATTGACGGTATGTATAGAAAGTGGAGGTTGGAAACCCTGAACACAGGTGTACCGGTAGATTGGGCAAAATATTAGTCGGGTACTGAGAAAGTTTTTAAAACCATTATATACTCTCCACACAAGTAAAAAATGAAAGAAGAAGCAGTTTGTTCTTAAAAACTACAAGAAGGAGTATTTTTGCGCGCACTTTCTATACGACATGATTGAATTTATTACGGCACAGAAAATAAACGAGGAAATTTTATACTACACAAGTAGTTATTTTTATAGTGTCATTTGTATTTTCAAACGGTCGAAAAGAGGTTCGGTCGAAAGCCGGCATCCTGAAGTAAGCCAATTATCATGGGATTATGCTGCATGGTGACTACTGTTACAACGAAACTTAAGTAATCTTTTCGAGTCGAAATCGCATGTCATCATTTCGGTCAACATATCATGAGGTAGCACATCTACTATAGTTCATAGCAAATTATGTCCTCTTCAATTGCTGTGCTAAAAGAAATTGTAGCTTCGGGTTTTGCAAAAGTTTCAAATTAGGACTTCATTCAAGACTCTGTGACGGGCGTTGAAAGAGCTTCACCAATGTTGCCTGTGAAGTATACAATCTGGTGCAAATGCATTGCACGATTTTCTGAGTGCTATATGACCTCTACGTAACAGGGGATGGATATAGGTGATAATCTATTGACGGAAAGTATAGAAAGTGTAGGTTTGAAACCCTGAACTCAGGTGTACCTGTAGATTGGGCAAAAATCCTTTGAGGGACTAATAAAGTTACTCCGTTCCAGAATTTACTCTCATTCCAGGTAAATAATTATTGACGATTTATCAGTTTGTTATGATAAGCTGTCAAGTTGGTGTATTTTCTTTCAACATTTGTATTAGCCATCTTTTAATCTACTAGGGGTACCGAAATTCAACGCGGAAATTTTATATACACAGGTAGTTCTTTTTATATGGATTTTTTTCCGTTAACTGGAATGCATTGCACAATTTTCTGAGAGCTATTTCACCTCAACCCGAAAGCGGAGTGGTCTGCGTGATAATGTTTTTGCCGGATGTATGGAACTTGTATGTTTGAGTCCCTGAACACAGGTGTAACTTTAGATTGTGCGAAGGATTATTGGGGAACTGAGAAAGTTTTTTAATACCAGAATTTGCTCTCCATTCAGGTAAAGTATCATAGATGTGTCAGTTTTTTTATTAAAAGCCTCCATTGAGGAGTATTTTCGCGCGCAATTTCTATAAAACATCTTCGAATCTTTAAGGGCACCGAATATCCTCGATGAGTTTTTATACTACACAAGTAGTCATTTTTAGATTGCCATGTGCTTTTTAAAACGGCCGGAATTATGTTCGTTCGAAAGCCGTCATCCTGAATTTACTGAATTATCATGGGATTTTTCTGCGCTATGTTCAATAATACAACCATGTTTAAGTAGTATCGTGGGACTGAAATTTCATTTCAATATTTCTTTTAACGTTTAATTAATTAGATCATCTGCGTTCCGCTTTTACCCTCCTCTGTTTTGTAGGTTATATAGATCATGCGGTAAGGCATCCATCCCAGCACTCAGTTATAAGCGGTCAGGTGGTGGTCGTTAACCAAGCATATGATTTCACCTTCACGTTGCTGGAGAGTCTCTCTATGTTCCTACGACTGCGGATACCTGCGACGGTGGAGGCCGTGTCCATACTGCTAGCCAGCCCAATCTTCTTTTTGCAGTGGGAGTTAATTAAATTGATGAGGCTACCCTGGCCATAGTTAAGTCCTTCATATTCGTTCCCGCATCCTGCCAGTTTCCTTTCTCTTCTCTCCTTCCCCCAAATGTTTAGAACTAATTCCTGGATATGGCATGCCTGAACTCCCTTGACCTTCTCCCCCATGAGTACTGTTCATGAGCTGTTGTCAGTTGTTTTGTTCTACTCCAACATATTCATATCGCTGTACAGGTCTGACGAGGAATAATCGAAAAAGCACGTCTGCGAAACCCGATTTCGTCAAAGATAGCTCTCGTTAATAATGGTCTGATGAGTATGAGGTCGGCTTTTTTATGACAGAAAAATGTCCCTCGGTTTGCAGAAATCAAAATGTTGGCAAAATATACATGTAATTTGTAACATTGCTCTCTCGACTTCGTCAATGAAAGCATTTTCGAGTAACGGATCAAGCGGTGAGCCCACTGCCACGCCACTTATTTGCCTATATAGTTAACCACAGCAGAGAAACTGAACATTTTGGGTACAGCGCGTCAGTAATTCTTTTAGCGTTTTCGCTGGCATGCCAATAGGGTGGTTAGTATCAACGCCTGGTCCGTTCCTCGCAAATGTTTTCATGGGGAAAGTTAAGAAGACAAGGTTACATGATACCATTTATGACCTCGACTTCTACGGTCGGTTCGTGGGCGATATAAACTTAATTTTATTGCAGTAACTTTAGGTAGTGAATAAAAACAATGGTATGCCATGACTCATAAATACCGGTGTGACGCCAAATGCAACTAAAATTATCAGACGCTTTATCATGACTAATCAGACGGAAATTAATTGTACATAACAGTTAAAAAGTAGGGCTTTTTGTTTAAAGGAGTCAGTCGAAAATATATACTAATTGTCGAAGAATACCGAAGTAAAAGCAAACACTTCCTTACCTTTGAAACGCAAGCTGCGCATGTAGGGCTTGTCGATAGTGATGAAAATCATTTGTTGGTTGCTGTCTATCTTGATCTTGGTAAAATCTTCGACAAAGTGCTGAAAAGAGTAGTCAGGAGCAAAAAGATTCAAGGGGGTAGTCAGGATAAAAGTTCTGGTTAGGTGGCGGCGATTTTGGATTCTCTGGTTGCCCGCTGATGACCTGACTGAATTTAGACGCTCGACATCTTATTTTTGTTCCCAATCATAAACTTGCCTGAGATGCCACTCCATAGGTAGGCGGATCTGCCTTTAACCTCAATGTAATTCTGCAAGTATCCAGCACTACCATCCTTTGTGTCCTGCAATAAGCAGAGGCCGTGTTGCAACTATAGTGGTCATCGCTATTAAAGTAGACCGGTGTTGGTCCAGTTAAGAACATTATGGAGTCCGAATGTCGGATTTTGTGGCGCACAGTGTACAGGTCCGATGTCACTAGTGAGACCATGAACTCCTTAGACATACAGTGACCAGAGTTGATGAGACCTGTGTTATGAAGTCCAGGCATTGCCACTTATGTATCAAGCATCTCGTGGTAGGGGAATCTTGCTGATGTAACAGTGCCAAGTAGGCGACCCTGATACATTAAATATACTTTGCTTGAGTGACTAGCATTGGTTCCGCCATGGTCCCGTTTCAAGGAGACAAGTCAAGTAAACTTTTATGCAGATGTATCACGCACCCTCCCGGCAGCTGACACCCCTGCACTGTTCTCCACTGGTTTCATTCTATACGGAGAGGGCAAGGACAAACTACCTGCCCATCGATGTATTTACCCCTTCGTCTACTCCTGTGAAGCAGAAAATATTGGTCCTACGAATCGGTGTTTGCTCAGAAGAATAAGAGAACCTCTTCCAGCAAAGTTAGGGATGAGTCAAATAAAGGACGTTAACAGCTCTATCCTCGCGCATATGGCAGACACAGACCACCGTGTAGACGCCAGAGAGGCCTTCAGGGTGATTTAAGAGATTCTGTCAGGCTATCCAAAACTACTTTGGCAGTATCTGTTGGTTACGGCAGAGGCGGCTGCAATCAGGTAACGCAAACCGGTCCTATAAACACAAAAGAACTTCATACAGGTTCCACAGTTGCCATGGTCCAAAGCCACCATCCAGTTACCCGCATATAATTACCTGTCCCAGTGCCCACCATACCCCTGGCGCGAACTGGGATTTTGATGTCTGCCTCTCCCACCCTCCACCCCAAGAAAAAACTCAAGTTACAGCATAATTATCTATTTTAGAGTTACGAAAATTCCCATAGCAGTAATGAGAAGGCGAGGTGACGAGCATACGTGGCTTTCGATAAATTCTCGTCCGGCCAGTGCAATTATATGGGAAGGGGGTAGAAGTAAAAACACGTCAGCGCTAAGATAAATCGATTAAAGTTCGCCTTAAAGCACAGGGTGGGTGTGAAAATGTGGGGGGGGGGGGGGGATAATCGCAGTCAGTGTCAGGGGTGGGGTGAGAGCGGAGGGGCGTACAGAGTTTCATGTAGTTAGTCCACCTTCGACCACTGTAGGCGCGGAGCCTGAACGTGGTTCTTCTGTGCGCACAAGATGGGCTTTCGCAACCCGATGGCGGCTGCCTCTGCTGTTGCCAACAGGCGCTGGCCCGGTAGTTTAGGGTAGCTCGATGGGACGCTATAGATCACGCTTCATTGGGGTCTACATGATGTCCGGAATCGACAACATACGCGAGAATGGCGCTGCTTATGCTCCTAGTTTCGCCTTTTCCCAGCCATGCCAGGAGGTGTTCCCGTATTCTCTTGGATAAGCGCCGACTCGTGCGACCAATATAACCTGTTCCACAGGAGCAAGTGAAGAAATAGATGCACACTGAAGTGGTCTGGGGTGGCAACTTATCCTTACCTTCTCCGCGTCAAATAGGATTAGTAAAGAAGGATACTTGAACCCTTGCCGCTGGGAAGGTTCGCGCAACAGGTTGATCAAGGCGTCTCTTTAGGAGTTCACTCGCAGCGTCCCCTTGAAAAGGGACTTTAAGAACAGAGTTTTCTTTTCAGCCAGTTGTGTGGCGGGTTTTACCGGTCGTTCGGCCATATTCTTTGAAATGAACCCGTCCGGATACCCGTTCATACGAAGGAAGTCCTGGATTATTTTAAGTTCCTCCTCAATGCTATATGTTGAGCAAATTTTTCTAGCCCTTTGTGCCAATCATCAAATTAAGTTTTGTTTCTGTTGTAGGGGTATGAAACTAGCGAAGTTTGTGTATCGTCCAGCCCAGGTTTTCTTTCGGTGGACGCTTCTTCGGACACTCCCGTCAGCTCTCCTGCTTAGAAGAACATCTAAGAAAGGGAGCGGACCGGTCGTTTCCACCTCCAACATGAATTTTATAGAGGAATGTGCCTGATTTACAGCATTTAAGAGAGCATCTGCGTCGGTTTCTGCTGTAGCAATTGCAAAGATATCATCGACCATAATATTTAAGTTTTTCGATCTGATCGCTTAGTTGGAATTTCTCCAATTTGCCCATGAAGACATCGGCTAGGAGTGGTCCAAGAGGCGAGCCCATAACAACGCCGTCTATTTGTCAATAGAGTTGGTTGTCAGAAAGGAACTGCACATTTAATGTGCATCTTAATAGTAGTTCCCTGAGTGTCTTCGTCGGAATTCCTATTTCCTGCTTATTGGTTTATAGAAATTCACAGATGTAATCAACTGTCTCGGTAACGGAAACGTTTGTAAAAAGTGATGAGACGTCCAGCGAGAACATCATCATGCCGTTGAGGTTAAGGTCTTTAATGTCGTTAATGAATTCAACGGTATCTCGATAGCTGCGTGGCGCTAGTTGATGCTGTAGAGGCTTGAGTTTCTCTGCTAACCACTTTGCTATCGCATGATATGGCGAGTTTCGCATGTCTAAGATCGGACGGACTGGCAGGCCTTCCTTATGGATTTTAGGTAGACCATATAGTCGAGGGACATGTGTGCCGACTGGTCGGTGTTCGGGGTCACGGTCCCTTATGTAACCCGCTGTGTGGAGCCGTCTTAGACAGTCAGTCAGTTTCGCCTCTACTTCATCCGTACAATCTTCTTCTTTGCCTACCTTCTTGAATTTCTGCTGGTCTGATAGTATGGACTGTATCTTCGCTACGTAGTCCGATCTTTTCATCATAACGATGACTGTTCTTTTGTCCAGTTTAATTACCATAATATCTTTGTTTTCTCAATGTTCTTTTAACTTTTGCACATGTGCTTTTGTCAGCAATCCCCGACACTTTGGCCCCTTGTTCAGTTACTGATAACTGCAATTCACCAGTGTTGATTTAAAGTGTTGGATACTGTCTGTGGAAGCGGGTACTAGATCATGGGTTTGGTTCCATAGCTTCTCGAACTGAGTTTCAAATTCTAACTGATTAACTTTTCGACGAGGTATAAAAAACTTAGGACCGAGGAATAATACCTCAAACGATGCTTTATCAGTTATCATATGAAAGTGATTGTGTACGTATCTACCTGGATCTTTTGGAAACCGTGATTTTGGTTTCATCTCACGTACACTTCTAAGAAGCGCAGAACTTCTTGCCTCTCCGCGTTTTCTTCCTATGGATTGAGTGTAGCTGTCGAATTCTTGTCTTTTTTCGTCTGTCAGGCTGACTAGAACGGCTGTGCGTTGACACACGTGACGCTTCAGTTCTTCTATCTTTAAGAGGGTACTTTCCAGTTGCTTCTCAGCGTATCTTTTCAGGGTTTCTGTGGCAAGGACGGTAAGGCTACGCCTCAGCGCTCTCCAGTAGTGGCTTGGATATTTGTTTCTCTGAATGCATTCCCCGATAAACTTGGCCATTGCTTTCGTCTTCACAAGCTTGATGTTGAGACGTAGGTACCCATTGAGTGCCCTCAACACCGTGGGATATTTGGACTGTTTTAGAGATGCGAAAATTCCCATAGCGATAATCAGAAGGCGAGGTGGCGAGCATACGTAGCTTTCGGTAAAGTCTCGTCGGACCAGTACAATTAAACGGCAAGGGGGTAGAAGTAAAAACACGACAGTGCCAAGATAAATCGATTAAAGTTCGCCTTAAAACACAGGCTGGGTGTGGGAATGTGGTGGAGGGGGGGGGGGGTGGGGGGTAATATCACTGACGTGTTTTTACTTCAACCCCCTTCCTATATAATTGTACTGGCCCGACGAGAATTTATCGAAAGCTACGTATGCTCGCCACCTCGCCTTCCAATTATCTATTTCTCCGCATATTTTAATTCATTATTTTTATAGCCATATAAATGTACAGGTCTGAAGAGAATCAATCGGAAGGACACGTACAATCGCCAAATTGACTTTTAAACAAATATGGACAATTATGGTGAATAGACGCCCACCGATCAGATTACGGAACGCGATCGTCCCATTCTGTCTTGCGGTATGACTGGCTGATGATATCTAAAGGGCCGGACGTAGCTATTTCGGTTTCCTTTGTTCTTGTCGGTACCACCAGGTCCACCTAAACATCACCGAGCTCAGGGATTGGTAATAATTTTAAGACGTTTGTCTCTCGGGAGGTTGAGGTGCTCCTACTTGTTCCCATCCTTTTCTGGAAATTCTCGCTTAAACTGGTAATCAACGACGACTGTGATACGGAGAATCGTCTTGGACAAGCCCAAGTCCTTCAACTCCGGAAGTTCTCTCTCAGGACGTACTTCACGTTCGACGGGACAATCTACGAACAGGTGGCGGGCACACCAATGGGTTCGCCGATTTCGGGATTTACCTCCGAGGCGGTTCTGTAACGGTTAGAATCGCTGGTCTTCCAACACCACAGACCGAAATTCTGGGCACGGTATGTGGATGATACCTTCGTCGTTATCGACCGGGATCAGCTGCTGGCATTCAAGGAACATCTCAATGAGGTCTTCCCGGACATACAATTTACGATGGAAGGGGAAGAAAACAACCAGCTGGCCTTCCAGGATGTCCTTGTATGCCGCAAAGATTGTGATGTACTAAAAGTTAAAGTGTTCAGGAAAGCGACAAATACGATACAAGTACTGAACTTCAACAGCAACCACTCAATCAGCCACAACAGCAGTTGTGTAAGGATGCTCTATCGGCGTGTCCAAACACACTGCAGTGAGCCGGAAGACAAGGTTGCCGAACTACAATACCACCGACGGGTCTTCAAAGCCAATGGCTACCCACTCAACTTAGTCAACCGGTGCATACGCAAAAGGGATGGAAGACCTAACCGCACGGACACCAAATGTTGGCGAGCCTTTCCGTATGTCAAGAACGTTTCGGACGCTATAGGCCGCCTTCTCGCACCACTTGGGGTTGGAGTTGCACACAGACCGGAGGCAATCACCAGGCGTCAGGTTATGAAACAGAAAGACCCGCTGCCATAACAAGAAACGTCTGGAATCGTTTATCGGATCTGGTGCAGTTGCGGACGAGGCAACTCCGTCGGAGAAACTGGAAGACAACTCCGAACGAGAATGGCCGAACACGCTGTAACGGTGCGGAGAAATTACGCCAACTCTCAAGTTGCGGCTCATTCGACGAGATCCGGCCAAACATTCAAATTCGACGAGGCCGAAATTCCCGCAAGAGATGGCAACCACGTGAGCCCGGAGCTGCTTGAGTCATGGTTTACTGGCCCCCAGTCCAATAACAAGTGCAATGAAATTCCCGTTCCATACTCGGTGCTGAGACTTCGCCTGGGCGGAGTAAATAGCCACGCGGGAAGCGCACGGGTGAACGCTTATCCAAACGCCAGGTTCGGTGGATCATATGGTCGAGCAGTCATCACACCAAGTACAACGATCCCCTATGAAGGGAGAGTTGTTCATAGGTTTGCGGTAACATGGCGACTGCATCCTATAAATACTGCAGCCCATTGTGCATGAACCACATGTATCTGCTATCGTCTGTGATGCTGGGTTCAAGCAGGAATCCGAAACGTCGGGCTAATAAAGCTCATGTCCCATCGATCGTGTCTCCTTCAATAATGCTTCCTGGGACTCGACACTTCGCTTCTATTGCAGATGGGATACGTATGTACGCTTCGCGGCAGGGTGACCTAGTCCCACCCACATCCATCCCCATTCCTTGAACGCGATATTTTCTCCCAAGAAACCTCTCTGCTCTCACTCACGTGCTACAACAGACACTGGGATTCCCGTATAAGCGATTATTATTCCCTGGGCTCTCATTTACTTGACTCTCTGTCTCATAATCATTTCGATAATGCCAGCGTCCCCGCACGCAATCCACCAATCATTACGGTCAACTTACATTTTGTACGTTTTTTCCGTGCTTAGAGTCTTCGCAAATATTTCCATTTCGCAAAGGAGATGAACACACAGGGTCACTGGGACAATACACGTATTAGCCTGAGTTTTCGGTCTCGTACAGGTGGCCATCCTCACCGACTGTGAGAATGCAACGTCAAATGGGATGTTTTATAGTCAAACCAAGAGGGAGGGCGTAGGGGTGGAGAGAGCGCTGTTCGGGATAAGGCTGGGTCCGCGGCATCGTGACGGCGTGCGTCCTTGGCTGGGGATTGGGTCGCGCCTCTTGGCTGCGAGAACGAAGTGAGTGATAGCAGCAGGGGTGTATTCAACGTGTCTGTTGATGAGGTTGGTGTCAGACAACATTGTCTCCAGCCAATCTCGCCCTGTCTTACTGCTGGCTCGCGCCATTATATCCGTGCTCTCGAAGTGGAATTCGTGGACTTCATCCAGGTTGTGGGTAGTCGTCGTCCGGTCTGTCTTATATAATGGCGAGGACAGTCACGGCACGGGATCTAATAAACGATGCCAGATTGCTCTCCCGCGTCTAGTAGTCCGCTCATCTTCATGATTTCGGTACGCATAGTAGCTGTCGGAAGACAAGCAAAACCCAAGTCGAGCTCTACAGCGACACAGTCCGTTGCCTCTGACACGTTCTTTATAAACTGTAGAGGGTGTCAGAGTGTTGGTGGCTCTGCTCCATTTGTTCCCCATGGGCGTGTACGGAGGCAGCAGCTAATGGATCCGTTTGGGTGTCCGTTCCTTGTCAGTTGGTCCCGAAGATGAAGTAGCTCTCGTAGAGGGCCCTCAGGTCGACTACAATGCCTTACCCTTTGGAAGAGTGCTCTAACACAGCTGCGTTTGTGCGCCATTGAGTGATTGCTACGGTAGCTGAGAACCTGAGTTGTGTTAGTCGCGTTCCCATACACCGCGGTGCTGAGACATTCATTGGGTCTACGTGTGACGATGACGTGGTGGAAATTCAATTGTTCATCATTCCCTTCTTTCAATGTGAACTGAATGTCGGAGAAGATGCTGTTGAGCAGGTCTTGAAAGTCTGCTGGTCTTCGCATTTCAATTATAACGAAAGTTTCGTCCATGTATCGAAGTCAAAACGCAGGTTCATAGTGGTCGAAGACAACCTTCTCAAGCTCTTGTGGGACTACTTCCGCAACCACGCTGGATAGTGGGGAACTGGCAGTACTCCCACGGACGCCGGATAAACAGTTTTTATTTTTACCATCACCATACTGGGGGAGGTAAATTAAAGCGAATTGTTGGGAGAGAAAGGTAGTGAGTGTCCGACCGCCGGAAACGACGTCTACTACTTGCGTCGCGGAGTGGACAAGGCGCAGGTGACTTGCGTATGGACCAGGCGTACTTGCACAAAATCTCCAACACTCGCAAGACATTCACCTCCCTCCGATGTCAAGACAATGTCAATACGATCGAATATAGGCTCAGGCGCAGAACCCGGTCGAATCATTCAGAGAAAGTATCGACTCCTTGCAGGAAGGTGTGCGGTAAACAACTGTGTGTTAATTCAATATAAGTACACCGGTGCAAACAAATTATCACCAACGTTCAAGAGCTAGTACCCCTTGACATTTTTCATGAATGCAGATATCCTGTTTGCACCTGAACTCGACTTGGTAATTTCCAACAGTTTCCCATAAATTCTTTCGCGAGAACAAGGCTTTCTCAGCATGCAACATTATTTCAGGCAGTGAGATAGGCCTAATTAAAATCTTCTGGGTAGCCAAACTAGACTTTTATGGCGATTTGCCCATTCACAGCCTAAGATTAGGTGCAAAGCAATAGCAGTGAAAATGCGATTGACAGGGTGTCAAACGAAGATGAGGTATTCATAGTGACAAGTTTATTGAAGGTCTGACGTTTCGAGTAGTTATTTCGTCCACCTATCTTCAGAGACTAGAAAGCCATGCACACAGTTCTCGTTATGTGACGCAGAGTGTTTGATGCATAGCCCGCAAATGTCGCCTGTGTGGCGGCATCCGACCCACATTTCATCGCGCCCTGTGTTGCCTCCGCTCTCGTTGGCCATGGCGATAATTGGCGGCCCCGACGGCTCGGTGCTGTGAATGCGTGCGTCGAAAGTCACTACTGACGGGGGTTAACAGAACTGCGGCTGGACCAAAGAAGGGCATGTCGGTACGAGCGAAGATGCCAGCTCTGAGAATTAGTCGATAATGGGTAGAATCGGTCGCAGGCGCAAGAGCTTTATTCGCCTGACGTTTCAGATTCCCGCCCAAACCCAGAATCGGAGACAGCAACAGATAAGGATGATTCGTGCACCGCAGGTCGCTATACTACTGCATGCCCATAGTAGTTAAGCGCTCTCTCCTTCATCGGGGATATTAGCTGGCTGGCGCGCTAATTGATTGATGGCCGACATGCAAGTTGTTAATTGCTGAAATTTAATCACCTGCGTTGGATATTGGCGTGATGATTGTTCAGCCATTTAATTCACCGACCTGCGCGCTCCCCGAATGACTAATTACATTGGCGTGACGATGGCTCAGCAACCCGATCAGACCTGCTCTCTAGGTGAACGCCTCTCACCCCCCCCCCCACCATTTTCTAGTTGTAAATATTTTCCCGTCACTCCATTTCAGGACTGTAGCCGTATCACTCGGACTGTGCAAGTATGCCTACCCATGAACTTGGTCATACGCAAGTCACCGGTGCTGTCGACACCGCGACGCACGCAGCAGACGTCTGAAACCAACGTGGCATTCTCTTCGAAACGAAACTCAGGGTGTGCAGACCTGCTGTCCTGACTGCACTGCGTTAAGAAGAGAAAAAGCTAAAGCACTCTCACCTCAGCTGCCTTCAAAGAATACAGAGGATGATGGGGTTGGAAAAGCTCGCTGGCATCGAGGATATGTGTGCCTAGAAGCTGCATGTATTATGTAGAAGCGGGTGCAACTGTGCTGGAGCGACTGTGTTGTGGGAATGATCGACCAGACCGAGATCGACACTGATGGCCGCAGACATGACGCACAGTTGTAACAAAACAGCTCCTACAGACCAACCCTGACCGGAGCTGATCGTGTACAGAACAGAAAGACGTAGTATACTCCCGTAAGAACCGAGGCAGACGTCACAGAAGCTAACTAAATGGGAGAACCCAAGAAGGAACGAGGGACCTAAGAGAACCATGTAACGCGGATTAACGTCGCAAGCGTCCAACCTCTACCACGCTCGAGCTACAGTTGCCGTTTATTCTTACGGAGAGTTAAATCAATTCAAATGATACGGTCACAGTCCTGAAGTGGAGTTAAGGGTAAACCTTTACAACTAAAACAGAGGGAGAGGCGTTCACTGGGAAAGTTTTATTGGAGGTCTGACGTTCCGAGTAGTTATTTCGTCTACCCATTTTCAGAGACTAGAAAGCCATGCACACAGTTCTCGTTATGTGACGCAGAGTGTTCTATGCATAGCCCGCAAATGTCGCCTGTATGGCTGCATCTAAAGTCACTGCTGCTGAGGGTTAAAAGAACTCCGGCTCTGATCTGTGAATCGAATAGCCGAGTTCCAGTAAGCATTTCAGCTTAAAAAGAAGATGCCATCACCGGAACAAGAAGTTTGTTGGCCTGACGTTTCGGATTCTTACTCGAACCTATCATCAGAGAAGGTTGCAGACAAAGGTAGTTGAGGCACACAGACTGCAGTATTTATAGTATGTAGCTGCCGTGGGGCCACATGCGTACTACAATTTACAGCCCTCGTAATCACTGCTGGGGGTCTCTGATCTTATATCACCGATGCCGCCTGTGTGGATATATCCGGCCCGCATTTCATCGTGTCCTATGGCACCGCCGCCCTCGTTGACCGCGGAGATAAGTAACCACCCGGGTTACCCCATACCGTGAATGTGTGCGCCGAAAATCACTACTGACGAGGGTTAACAGAACTGAAGAAGGGCAAGGCCGATGCAAACGAAAGTGTGAGCTCGGTGAATAGTTCATAAGGAGTAGAAGCGATCGCTGGATTAAGAGCTGTATTCGCCTGACGTTTCAGATTCACGCTGAAACCCATCATCAGAGACAGTAATATAGACGGACGATTTTTGCACGGAATGTCGCAGTATTTAAAGGATACAATCGCTATGCCACTGCATTCCAGTAGTAATTAAACACTATCACTTTCATCGAGGATTGCTGCTTATTGTGGCGCTAGTTGCTTAATGAGAGGCGTGCAAGTTGTTAATTGCTGAAATCTCATCGCCCGCGTTGGATGTTTGCGCGATGATTGCACAGCCACCTGGTTCACCGGTCTCAGCATCGAATATAGGGTTGGATTGAACGCAGTGGCTGGTAGAGTTAAACCTGTCCGTTCGCATGTGCCGTCTCAACTTGCCGGGCTATATCGAAATGTTTCTCTCTTAATAAGAATGCGCGTGCGTTGTTATGCAATGTCCCTCTCTTTACAACGGCAATGGCACGGTGGTTCGCCTGCTTGCTGCAAGAGAGAAGTTTATCCGGACTTCGGATCCGCGTGCTTGCGTGGGAAGGCTTAGGTGTGGTGATGGGGCCTTAAGACATGTAGCGACGAGGCGCTCAGGGTTCGTTGACCACAGAACTGGCACATAATGTGCGTATCGAAGCAACAATTACCGTTTCTTTTTATAGACATTGAACTAGATACGAATGATACAACCAAAGTCCTGAAATGGAGTAACGGGAAAATATTTACAACTAGAAAGGGGGGAGAGGCGTTCACCTAGAGAGCATGTCTGATCGGGTTGCTGAGCCATCGTCACGCCAATGTAATTACTCATTCGGGGAGCGCGCAGGTCGGCGAATTAGATGGCTGAACAATCATCACGCCAATATCCAACGCAGGTGATGAAATTTCAGCAATTAACAACTTGCATGTCGGCCATCAAGCAATTAGTGCGCCAGCGAGTAACGATCCCCGATAAAGGGGAGAGCGGTTAATTACTATGGGTATGCAGTAGTATAGCGACCTGCGGTGCACGAATCATCCTTATCTGTTGCTGTCTCCGATTCTGGGTTTGGGCGGGAATCTGAAACGTCAGGCGAATAAAGCTCTTGCGCCTGCGACCGATTCTACCCATTATCGACTAATTCTCAGAGCTGGCATCTTCGCTCGTACCGACATGCCCCTCTTTGGTCCAGCCGCAGTTTGATTAACCCCCGTCAGTAGTGACTTTCGACGCACGCATTCACAGCACCGAGCCGTCGGGGTCGCCAATTACCTCCATGGTCAAGGAGGGCAGCAGTGGCACGGGACAGGATACGGGTCGGATGCAGCCACACAGGCGGAATCGGCTGGCAGCGCATCAAACGACCTACGACACATAACGAGAACTGTGTGCATGGCTTTCTAGTCTCTGAAGATGGGTAGACGAAATAACTACTCGGAACGTCAGACCTCCAATAAAACTTTCCCGGTGAACGCCTCTCCCTCTGTTCTAGTTGTAAATGTTTAGCCTTCACTCCACTTCAGGACTGTGACCGTATCATTCGAATTGATTTAACGGATTGAATTGAATAAAGGGCAACTGTAGCTCAAGCGTGGTAGAGGTTGGACGCTTGCGACTTTAATTCGCGTTACATGGTTCTCTTAGGTCCCTCCTTCCTCCTTGGGTTTTCCCATTTAGTTAGGTTCCGTGACGACTGCCCCGGTTCTTACGGGGGTATACTACGTCTTTCTGTTCTGTACGCGACCAGCCCAGGGCAGGTTTGTTCTGTGGGAGCTGTTTCGTTACCACTGTGCTTCATGTCTGCGGCCATCAGTGTCGATCTCGGTCTAGTCGATCATTCCCACAACACGGTCGCTCCAGCACAGTTGCACCCGCTTCTACATAATACAAGCCGCTGCTAGGCACACACATCCCCGATGACAGCGATCTTTTCCAACCCCGATCATCCTCTGTATTCTTCGAAGGCAGCTGAGGTGAGAGTGCTTTAGCTTTTTCTCTTCTTAACGCAGTGCAGTCAGGACAGCAGGTCTGCACACCCTGAGTTTCGTTTCGAGGAGAATGCCACGTTGGTTTCAGACGTCTGCTGCGTGCGTCGCGGTGTCGACAGCACCGGTGACTTGCGTATGACCAAGTTCATGGGTAGGCATACTTGCACAGTCCGAGTGATACGGCCACAGTCCTGAAATGGAGTGACGGGAAAATATTTACAACTAGAAAATGGTGGGGGGGGGGAGGGAGGCGTTCACCTAGAGAGCAGGTCTGATCGGGTTGCTGAGTCATCGTCACGCCAATGTAATTACTCATTCGGGGAGCGCACAGGTCGGTGAATTAAATGGCTGAACAATCATCACGCCAATATCCAACGCAGGTGATGAAATTTCAGCAATCAAAAACTTGCATATCGGCCATCAAGCAATTAGTGCGCCGGCGAGTAACAATCCCCGATGAAGGGGAGAGCGGTTAATTACTATGGGTATGCAGTAGTATAGCGACCTGCGGTGCACGAATCATCCTTATCTGTTGCTGTCTCCGATTCTGGGTTTGGGCGGGAATCTGAAACGTCAGGCGAATAAAGCTCTTGCGCCTGCGACCGATTCTACCCATTATCGACTAATTCTCAGAGCTGGCATCTTCGCTCGTACCGACATGCACTTCTTTGGTCCAGCCGCAGTTTGATTAACCCCCGTCAGTAGTGACTTTCGACGCACACATTCACAGCACCGAGCCGTCGGGGTCGCCAATTATCGCCATGGCCATCGAGAGCGGAGGCCACACAAGGCGCGATGAAATGTGCGTCGGATGCAGCCACACAGGCGACATTTGCGGGCTATGCATCAAACACTCTGCGTCACATAACGAGAACTGTGTGCATGGCTTTCTAGTCTCTGAAGATGGGTAGACGAAATAACTACTCGAAACGTCAGACCTTCGATAAGCGTGTCCCTGTGAATACCTCATCTTCGTTTGACACCCTGTCAATCGCATTTTCACTGCTATTGCTTTACACCTAATCTTAGGCTGTGAATAGGCAAGTCACCATAAAAGTCTAATTTGGCTACCCAGAAGATTTTCGCTAGCCCTATCTTACTGCCTGAAATAATGTTGAATGCGGCTTCGATATGGCCGTTACGTGCAAATTCTGTGGTCGACGGGTCTTGAGCGTTATGCAGTTAAATGTCTTACCACCCCATCACTACACTTCATCCTATCCACACAAATACACCGCTTCGCAGGTGAAAAATACCCTATCCTTCAGCAAGCATGCGAACCACCCTGCCATCGCCGGTATAAGAAGCGAGACATTACATGCCAACGAACGCACATTCTTATAAAGAGAGAAACATTTTAATATAACCTGGTAAGTAGAGATGGCACAGGTGAACTGACTGGTTTTACTCTGTTAACCACAAGGTAACAGTGGCCCGGACAGCCGACTGACGCATGAGGGGTCATATCTTCGCCCTCTCTCCCCCGTCAACTGTATTCAAGCTAAAGGGTTTGAATCTGTCACGTCACACTCAGTCCCGGCCCGGGAGTTGCCAACTGGCGGGTTAACTCAGTCAGACTCAGGACTCAGTGTCAGTCCAAAAAGACACCTTCCTAATGCGGCCTGTATTGCACTCTCGCCGATTTAATATCAGAGACCTACAGCGGTGATCACGAGGGCTGTTGTTAATGTACGCATATGGCCCCACGGCAGCTAAGCAGTTTAAATTCTGCAGCCTTAGTGCCTCCACTACCCTCATCTGCAATCGTCTCTAATGATGATGGGTTCGAGTTAGAACCCCGAACATCAGGCCAGTAAACTTATCTTTTCAGCGATCGCATCTTCATCTTCCTCTGAACTGCTTCCTAGAACTCCCCTGTTCGCTTCTATGAGATCAGAGAAGTTCATGCAGTAGCCCGGTACATGCATTGGGTACCAGGTCATGTGTGACACCCGCAGCTGGACT